AGAAGTCTAAGCGATAAACGCCCACAACATTCATTGTCCTAAGCGACGTGGATTGATGCCGTGCAGACTTTGAATGTTCGATCGTACTTGCAATCCAGCACAGTCACCGCCTCCTGGTTACGTGCCCCAGAAATGTGCATTTGTCTTTTATTTCTGTATAATCAGACTCACAGCTCGTTTCAGCATTAAATACCTCATCTTACTCGCATCTTGATCTACTAGTGTATGTAGGTGATGATTTTTATGAACCTATACGAGCACACTGAGAAAATTCGTGTCGAATGCTCAGCACTCCCTCAGGCTCGCGTCGTGGAACCAACGGCAAAGAATCCGGTGGGCCTCGTTCTCATTTGTGAACGATCGAGCCGGTGCTGCTGCGCAAATTGTTGTGGACAAACGCGTGACACATGTGATCGTGTAATTACCAAATGAAGACTACAGAGGACGAAGCGCCCACCGCCACTAGGCCACCGAAATCTCTCTCTGCTTCTTTCTGTAACCAATACTACGGAAACACAGATCAATTGACCGGAATTCCTTCTGAAGAGCTTGAATGGCTGGGCAGTCTAATATTCTAACTAGAATAACGCTTGTTCGTCAGTATGGCAGTGAATATGGTGACCTCATAGGGAATGGGACTTGGGAACTGAACGGTGAGTTTCACATCTTGTCGATAATATAAGCCATTAATTTTTCAACTCCTGCTCCTTATATCATTACACTTTCCGTTTATCAGGCTGTAGGATCTACATGCAAGTCAAACTTTCACTCTCCAAATGACACTTCTCACCACGAAAGTGCAAATTCAAGTTGGAAAACTGAACAGATCGGATAATACTCTCCCCAAATTAGTGTTCTCAGAACCTGAATCGAATTCAACGCAGTTTTCGATGCACAGCTGTCTTCCCACTCTAATCTCATTGTCGGGAGCTTTTGAGATAAAGACGTCCATAAAACTTTTAGGTAAATCGTCAACCGTTGAACTGGTAAGCTCAACTTCAATTTTCATCAATGCTAATCATATCCTTCTTTTAGGGTACACGGATAGCTGATCACTTCTTTTAATCCTCTCGGAAATACATGACTGGTCTCCTTCTCTTCTCCCAACTTACGACAACAATATGACCTTCTTAGCCCATATTGCTCGGAATCAATCAACCATGCCCCGTCCTCCAATGAGGATAAGGGGTTCTGTAACTTCGGGGGAGTGGTATAAAAAGTTGAGCTCGATAGCACTCGGGATAGTTGCCAACTAAGGCATTCTGTGATAGGTGAGTTCAAGTTTCTCCATGAACCTTCCGACTTCCCTCAATTTAACTCTCTCAACTTTGGAAACCAGTAGGGAGTTGTCCTCCGATAGCCTCGTTGGAAGGAATTCCGGTGCATATTGCTTTAATTTTACCTGCCTCACGTTGGCGATTGGTTGTAACCCATCAATGCCAACGATGATCTTGAAACTTTCAAGGTTCTCCGTTATGAATCTTCTCAGAAGAGAAGACACAGTACAAAGTCCTCAAAGGTTGTAACATCTGTACCTGATTGAAGCCTGGGCAGTAAATCTTCTCTCTGAGTCTTTAGTCTTGATAACAGATGTACTGATCTCATGATTCGTCTCTCGATGCCAATGTTTCACAGGTAAACTATTCGAGGCGACTCTGCGCGATGAACAGAAACTTCATATTATAACCCCGATCAAAACTTCAAACAGAACCCTACAAAAACAGGATCTATAGACGACGACAACGGTACAACATGATACTACTGCTTAGGTTTGGTAGGAGCAAAAGCTGTGTTCCATTGCTTCACTTGAGCAACAGGAACCTGACCACCCCGGCTCGTATTCGTAGCTGGAGCGGCATTTCTGGGAGGGGCTTGAGGAGGAGCTTGAGCAGAGGAACCCCCGTTCGCAGGATTAACAGCATCCGGTTTTGATCGAGTGATACCATAATACGTCTGTGGAGGCCCAATTGGAAGAGAAGTGGATGTTTGTCCGTTACTTCGAGGAGGAGGAGTGCTCGTTGATCCCTTTAAAAAACCGGGAGGTACTGGTTGTCCACCTTGCCTAGCCCGACGATAGAGTGTAGGAGCAGAGTAAGCATCATCTCGGGAGTAGATGTCCATCATTGGAGAAGCATAGTCTCTTCGGTATACTGAAGAAGGCTCGTAGTAATCTCTAGCGTAGAGATCTGAATACGCTGAATCGAATGACCGTGCGTTGAGTGATGGGCTATAGGATATAAAGGTAATTAGAATCATCAGTATGTATATAGAATGAATTTATGTTTACCTGTCGTATGAGCTTCTTCGGTATCGATACTGTCTTGGCTCAGGTGCACGACGAGCAAAAGTGCTGTATCTACAGAGAAGGAAGGTCGGCCAAAGCTCTCGGGTACATTTTAGCATGGATACTCACGATTCATCGTATGGTGCAGCGATCACGCTGCCGATAGCAGCGAGACTGAGGACAGCGAGAGCAGTGAAAGACTTCATCTTGTACTAGTCGTGTAAAGTCTATGGACGACTAGGAGTTAACGTTAATCCCTTCGAGTATAATGAGATTGAAGAATGAACCTACAATACTTGGGTTTGCGAGGTTCGTTAGGCTTGCGACAAGGAGCAAAAAAAAGCAAAAAGGATGACGAGGGGGGGAGTACGAAAACAGCTATGAGAAACAGTAAGCACGAGAAATACAAGTTTAGTGAATATGAAAGAAACCCACATGTCCAGCACCTGAACGAGAAAAGAGATGAATGAAAGGAGTGAACGAACTGTGCGTTACTGTAGAACCTGAGCTGAACATACCTCACCTTATATACCTCTTCGGATAATGCTCCTACCGAGTAAAGCCCAGCGTCGTGCTACGTTCTATCCTATACCGTGACTTTGCACGCTGCAAAAGAAGCTGAAAAATGTCCCAGATTTCATATTGATAGGCATTGATAGCCACACCATGCCGATGAAACCCATTTGCTTCGAGTTGCTGTTGGACGTGCTTGAGATTTGAGACTTGCTTGTATTTTGCACAGTGAGACAAACATCGGCTTCAAGAACAAATCTAGAAAGTGCTGACTTGAAAAGGCTGATGGCGAGATTCCATTAAGAGTTTTGAGACATTGAAGATTGAGCGTGTAAATTCGACTTGCAGAGGATGTCTTATACAAGGACGGAAACTATATCCTGGAAAGCGGGGAGGCGTGAGGATGGAACGTTTTTGTTATGGGATAATCAGGCCCGCTTAGAGTCAGTGAGTCACAAATTCGGAGACACACCTCGACATCGCCAGCAAGGCGTGTTCCATGACGATGCATGCAGCATGGTGCATAACGAAAGAAAGACAGTGTTTGTCATTTGACAAGTGGCAGAATCACAGACTTACAGTGCATTTACTACATCCGCTTGTGATTCAGTCAGCTGCTGCTTCTGCCAACCAACCCACAAGCTCTCGGGATAGACAGATTCATCCTCCCCTCCTCTAACTCTTCTAACACCTCCAACCTCAGAATCCATCACCTTATCAACGCCTTTCATCTTCTTCCCCTCTGGAGATGTCAGCACAACCTTTGGAACTTTCGGTTTCTTCTGCTTTCCTACCGGCGAGGGCTCTCCATCATGATTGCTTTTCTTTGATTTCTTCTTCGAACCTATGTTTCCGCGTTTGTTGATATGATTATGGTAAGGATAGAATCGATTGTGGAGAGAGCAACATGAAAGACTGACGGGATAATGATGATATCGATGTAACTCATCGAATCCTGAATTCCATCGAGGAGCCAACGAATTTCCATCTCTTCTCTTCTTGTGAATCCTCCCTCCACCACGTCCATTCCCGCCAGTATTGGTACTCGCAGATCCAGATCCAGATCCTCCACTAGGAGGAGGTTTCGTTGAATGATTCAAACCCGAGTTTAGGCTATTACTATGTCCTTGTGGGGTTGTTAATTCCTCAAGTTTTGCCATCGCAACAATCCGCCTTTCTTCTTCCAATGAAGGTATAAGATCAGGCTCGAGGAAAGAATTTCCAAATTTCTTGAGAGATTCTTTCAATTTCTCTTTCTTTGTCTTCTCGCGTCCTTTTGGTCCGTTGGTTTTGTTAGGATCGTTGTTATTGTTGTTGTTGTTGTTGTGATTGTGATTGTGATCGTTTTGTCTAGAACCTCCCAGCCGACTTAAGGCAGATCCTCTTCTTTCGACGTGAGGGTAATAGAAAGAATCAACATAATTACGAGGATCTCGCGTACGCAGATGGGAATGTACGACTGGGATGTAGCGACGTTGAACTTGAACTTGAGAGTTGGAACCCACACTCACTTGTCTACAACGAATACGACACTATCAAAGTCTGTTAGAAAGTATGAGCGATTTGAACTTACACGATACGTGCTGTGGCGCAAAGGCTAAACACCGAGATGGAGAGAATGACGAGTTTGAGGAGCGTATTTTGCCAGCAAAAACGCATGTTTGAACCTGTCTGAAAATTGTATCGATAGATTGAATATGAAAACAGAGGTTAGCATTGCAGGTCTCAAGACACGATGAATCGAATATGCCACTCACTGGGCGTATTCAAAAAATCTTTGGTCGCAAACTAAGCATTCAAGTCCTAGCATTTATAACATACGACGATCAATGCAGGATCCTCGAACCTGTGTTAATGAGAAAAGAGAAGGCATTTCGTCGTTAACACATCACACACCCTATCAAGGGTCGTCGGCGAACAGTTGAATCCAAGCAAGTTTCGCGCTCTCACCATTTCCTTCAGCTACGGTGATATCAATGTATCAAGGGTTGAAAACCAATAAATGGAGTCTGAACGTCGCCGTGCTTCAGTGGGACCCTATTGATGTGATTTCTCCTTGGATTTATTGCAAAGGCCCTGGCAATCAATTCAAATCTACGCTGATGAAACATTGTGACAAAACTTGGACGTACCAATACTAACAAATTTTCAACCAAGTTGATCCAGGGCAAAAGGGAAGAAGTGGCAAAAGATAAACCTCCTGCTCCCTGGCGGGGAGTCGAACCCCGCTTTCGCGCGACCGCAGATTATCATGACAGGCGCGTGTACTAGCCGATATACTACCAGGGACTTGTTCTAGGCCTTCGTGATTAAGGTAAGTGAGAGATGGCGAAAGGATTGGTAGACTCGTGTTCTTTCGTTTAACACCCAGCTAGACAATTTTATAACTCAGACACCATACCAACATATGACTTGATGCCGTGCATGAAATGCCAAATGAACATGCTACGATTGAGATTGATATCAGACCGAAAACAACGTATTCATCATGAACAAAACTCACCAAGACTGACTTATCCACTCAGATATCGGTCTCATCAACTGGTAGAGATGTACGGGAGAGGGGAGGGTATAAAATAGAAAGACACTTTGTTGGCGATGAAGCTAGCGTGTCTCCTGCAGACTTGCATCTATTGGAAATCAAGAGTAGGATGATTTTTTCAAAATCTGAATCCAACACGTTAGAATAACCCTGCGACGACGAAAACATGCAAAACCTGTTATTGATATTCGAATGTGTCATTCAGGGACTGGTGTTATCAGAGACACCACTGGTAACTGGTGACTGCTAAGATGGTTTCGTGGCGCATCAGGGTGCTTAGTTTTCGAGAAGAAAATCCAACACCCAAACGTGCAGCGGAGCACCAAGGAGCATTCAGGTGGGAGATTCTGAAAGCTGAAAAGTTGCTAAATCACAGAAAATAAGATAGAGAAGTTTCTTGTGCGACATCAAATTCAATCGAACGAACACGTATCACTTGGACGTTACCTAGAAATCGAACCATTCTTCACTCCTTCCGAGCCCTTCATCCATTTCTTTTCACTATTTTATGGCTACATTCAGCAGCGAACCACACTTGGGTTGAATCTGGATGACAATTTGGCACATTTCTTCTCATGAGAAGTACAAGTAGTCAGAGGCTTGGCTCGAATTTGCATTCATTTTGCAGGAGGTGCAAAAGGCCAGAGACAGGGAATCGAAGTTCAATAAGTGAAACATAAAGAAAGCCTGTCTGAAAGTTCGAATGTGTGCTCGAGGAAAAGTGGTTAATTGGACCACCGGTGTAGAAGAATTGGCCGCATGTTCATAGATCTGTTTCGAGGTCGGAACCCATGTGTGTGTGAGTATACGAGTAGAATAAAAAATAACACCCCGTGTTAGCAGTGAGAGTATTTCTTGAGGTATTGGTAGAGTAGTTGGGGGAAAAAGGAGGAGCTGTAGAGGGAGATCTTGAGGGAGGTAGAGTAACTGGTGTAAAACTTAAGATAAAACTTCAATAAAACTTCGATAACCATCGTGTTCGATGGGATTCAGCACACAGTGGACTTTTCGAGTCAAAAGATTGAATAGGGAGCTCACCACCATGAACGGCGGGCTAAGTACAAATGGAATTGTAGCACGTGTTGCTCACGCTGCCACCTCCTTCTCGGGTAGCCAATGAAAAACAAAGATAAAATCAAATAAACTGAGATAAAGAATGAAAAACAGAACTGCCGTGCCATTGACATCACCAAACAAACTGAAAGAAGTAACTCACCAAAGGTTTTAGTAGCCTCATGCTACAGACAATTGCTCGAGGGAGAAATACTGGCATGACAAAAGTACAAAGAGCTCCCCTCAAAGCTCCACAACTGCCCCAGGTTGTGTGTACAGTGCTCGGTACCCTCAACCCCTACTTTCCATGTGCATTCGGCTACTTTCACCCAAGGTAAGCCCAACAAAAATGAAGTGAAAGAAAAATAAAGAAAAAACATACGAAAATGGAATAAAAAGAAGACACTGTGTGCCTCAACCATCTGCCAAGCCTGATCCTTCGAAGACAGTAGAATAATTTATTCTTGATGATTCAGGAGTCTTAAGGAATTGTGGTCGCAAGTACTTGAGGAGTTAGGGCATCTTGAAGTAAGTTGAGGTCATTATTGAAGGTGAAAGTTCGTCATCGCATTTGAAGCTTGAAGGCACTCGATTCTTCAACCCACTTCTTCTGGTGTGATTAGTGACCTAAATAAGAAACAAAGAAAAATTAGTTTTCGATGAGTGAGCTTTCTCACTCTATCACACTGGCTAATTTCGAGAAAGGCGCTTCACCTTGAACGAAAAGACCAACTGGTCCTCGGTGTTCACTGTCAATGTTTGCACAATGATGTATGCTACTATCTTCTCATGTTGTTCTGTTCCACTTCTCTGCCAGTCACTCTGTCTCACTTCACTGCAATCAGTATGAACATCAAGAGTACAAACATCAAGGATTCAGAAATGAGAATAGAAAGTATACTGAATATCTCGTTTGAATATTACCAGTGGAGCTTTCAACGATATCTTCACCATTTTGCATAGCCACTTCTCAGTTGTTGAGAGCTATCAAGTGTAACACTGATAAGTACTTATTCTGATCCTAGATGCTGTTGTCTGTCTCGTTTCTTACTCAACATCTATCCACATCTCGTCAAATTCGTGAATAATTGAATATGCTGGTGAGAATCATATCTCTGGGACTGACAGCACTCAGGAGCAATTCCCTCTTCCAATCAGGATCACTCACCACCTTCACATCTCTGCTACAGGATGCAACTCTAAGTATAAACTGCACAATAAATGACAACCTGGTTGCACAACACTCAGGCTCACTCCCAAAAATGTCACACTTCTGATCAAAATTCTGCCTCAAATGAATCATGGTACCGATCACTTAGCACAATGAATGGCCATGGCCGTTTGGCACTTACATTACTCAGAAACTAACCACCATCACGTTGAGTGGCTATCATTACTTTCCTGTCCCTATCTCTATCTTGGTACATTTCTTTCCTCTTTACTTCACGTTGTGAGTGTTGTGAATCTTTTCATTTATCGGCATTTTTTTCTTCAATCTTTCCAGCTTCTATACATCTTTTGACAACTCTCAACCACTCTTCCTCATCACACTCTCCAGTTCAACAAAGATGTCCCAGATTTATGTTGTCTCAGTTCCATACCAGGAATTCATGGATACCTATATGAAGCCCTTGAGGAAATACAGTACTGTAACCACTGTTAGCAGCAAGATACTTGATCTCCTCAGAGTTATACCTCAGAATCCATTGACTGAAGAAGAGACGAGTCCACCATTGGTACGCCATTCTACTATTGTATAATGATTCTTGATTTCATGATTGTATCTCTCTACAGCTTGATTCTATCAATGCCATTTGCAAACAATTCAAGTTCAGAGTTGTGACAAAGGAAGATGCCAATGGATGAACAATGCCTAACATGGAGATCAAATGGTCTTGTGGTAGTGACGCTTTCTCCATTGAATTCCTACATCAGGATGCCTTTACTTCGGTACTCAACAAATCTGACAACCAGAACAATGACTCCCAATATTTGAATACTCTACATACTATCTCCTCATATGCGGCATCTCAATTCATTCATCAACATTGTGTCTTCCTTTTCACCATTTTCATCTTTGATTCATATGCTCGAATCATTCACTGGGATCGCTTAGGAGCTGTCATCTTGGAGCCTATCCATCATCGTAACAGTCCATGTTGTTTCGTGGATCTCTTCAAATGTTTTAGTCAAATGACTGATTTACAACTTGGTCTCGATACCAGTGTTACCCAGGCCAACTGCATTGAAGAAAACCTTTTACTCAATGCCATCTAAGAACATCTGCAGTCGGTAAAGAGAAAAGAGTCTCTTCTGATCCCTGATGTTGAAGAAACCTTCAACAATGTTATAACCTAAATGAACCCCAATGGAGACCCTGACCATTCCCAACCCGATATCGGTCCGACCTTCCATTCTTGGTGAACACGAGGATACTTACCTCCTGGAAAATGCACGTTTCCCTTCTGTAGATACTTATGTTTCCTGCATGCTCAGTTATATTGTTTCCCGACCCATTGGCCATTCATACTCAGCATGTTTCCCTCATTGTAGACACTGCATCGGCCCTGTTGGGATCTACTCCGGATGTGTATTTAAGTTTTAGTATAGTCAACTGTAGTACCTCAGTCATATATCTCGTTATATCTCGTTACATCAAGTACTCATATCTATGTACTTCTGTATCTGAATATAGTCTACGACCTTCCGCTCCTTACCCTGATCCATCCAACCCTGACTCTTCCACTTCTGTTCAATCCAACTTTCCGACTCAAGTTATTCTCAGCTTCCTCCCTCGCTCTCGCCTTCTCCTCTGCTTTCCATCCTGACATCTCCGACTTTGACTCAGAGTCTTCCAACAAGAAGAATACTTTCCGCAAATAAGGAACCAAGAGGTTAGTGGGGGTACAGCTCTCCGTGAGCTGAGGCCAAGGTTCCTCTGACTCTGACTTAGCCGACATTCCACCTGACTAAGTGAAGTCTAGTCTACGTACATAACAGACGAATCATTTCTATCATACAAGATTCAAGTCTAAGTTGAGAATCAACCTTTACGCTTCTACATTATCAAGAAACCCTTTCAATCATCATCATCCTCTTTATAGAGATGTAGTACTCATGTATACATCGCATATGGTCTCTCTGAAAAATGCCTCATCTTCTTAAAAGACTATTGGTGTCCTATGGGGAATGGTCATGATTCTGAAGGAGAGATATGCAATGAATTCAATGAATTCTTCAAAGACAATCCTGATGTTCATCAACATCTACCAACAGTGATCTATGGTGGCAATGTCAGATATAAGAGTGGTTCATGGCAGAAGGTTAGAGATGTGCAAGAGACCGAGACTCAGTACCGATCAAATATTTCAGAGATGTGTTTGAGACATCATAGGATCATTCAAGAAATTGCATTTCCATTGTTTGACATTTCTTCATTGTGAGATGTTGTCCAAATCATTTACGATGTGGTCAAATGTAGGATTCTCTTTTTATGAAATCAATTTGTTAAAGACTAATGTTGGATATTGAATCATTCTAGTTGTTATCACAATTTTTCAATTCAAATCAAAGCAGTTGCACCAAGATATTAGTGTCTTTAATATAATGACTGTTAAAATTGAAGGGAAGCTTCACGAAATCTTGAATGATTGGGACCACAGCAAAAAGATGAAACCTAGAACTGATAGTAATATTTACAGGATGGTTCGTAGACCTCATCTTTATCTTCTCTCATCACACGCTCATACTAATACCCTTCAGCAAAACAGGGTATCTGGTATTTCATATCTATTCTCCTCACTTGTCACAAGCAGAAAGTTCATTCAATCTTGGATGATCTTGAATTCTGCTTCTGGGTTCTCCCTTACATCACTCTTTATCAGTTTAAAAATGATGCCAATTCAGACAGGTCTATTCTCGGGATGTTTGAGAAAATGAATGGGTGACAACATGGTGGTAAAATGAAGTTTGACTTCATCTCCTTACCACCAATTGAAGAGTTAACAGAAGATGAAGATGAAGACACAGTCACCTTTTCTTGCAAACCACTTCATAATCTTATCAAATTATTCTGTCTATATCTTGGAGAGTATTATTTATTGCAGAGACTTGCTGGCAAGAAGAAAGAATTTCATGTGATGAATGAGCATCGATACTCTCATTCTGAGAAATTCCTTGCCATGTTTGATAAAGCACTTACGGAAGATGGTTGGATTAAAAATGACACAGTTGGAGAAAACTTCCCTTCGATCAAGGATTATAATGATAATGAAGATGAAGACACAGAAGGCTCCTCCTCCTCCGATTCAAATCTAGATAGTGACAATCAGGAAGCTGATATAGTTCAACAGCAGCCGATATTTGTCAAGCACCAAGAAGAAGATGCAGAACATGTATTGATGATGGTTCACAGCCCCCACCAGAACCTATACTGAAAAGAGCTACTCGAGCTTCTTCAAGGCTTGCAAAACATGCTCTTCCTTCTCCTCCATCTATTCTGCTTCTAGCATTCATCCCACCTGGTCGCATTGCTACTCATTTCAGTACACGACTTGTCGCGAAATGACTTTTAGAGTATCTCTGCCAAAGTGAGGTTCCCAGAAGCTCAAAACTGAAGGAGGAGGACAGAAAATAATTAGATAGAAGGATATTTGAGAATATTTAGTATAGTTTCACAGTTCTTCTTCTTCTTTGTCCAGACTATCTTTTCCATTGGATTATAAAGATATAAAATGCATCGTAATATACTTAATATAATTAATTGTTCTTTTTGTATTCTTCTTTTATGTTATTTAATAATGGGAATCTGATTCGAATTTGGTCGAGCAGTGGATGCCTGTTCATGATTTCATTTCAACCAACCATTCGACTTTCATTAGATAAAAGGTACTTAACAATTTCACTTTCAAGTTCCCTTTTGATACTTTTTTATTTATCACTGGGTCCAAACTTTCCAAAAAAAAAAAAAATTGGAACTTCTAGATGACAATCGACATGAATATTTCAATCAAGTCCAAGTCCACTGGTGGTAAAAAGTCTAACTATAGCTATCTACTACTTATACTGATGATTTGCATTTCTTTCATTCTGTCAGACCAGTAATATGTGTATTATCTGAATCATCGGGTATAGGATGGATCACAACAATCGATTCAAATAGTATGATTATATCCTGACTTCCTTGTTTATCAGCTGCAGTAGTCCGATGAGTCCCTGACCTTTTTTTTGACAAATTTATCCTGATCATGGTGGGTTTCGCTGAGTGACTGAAGGTGAAGGTAGAATGTTCTTCTAGTTATCACAGAGTAAGCGATGAATATTAGAATACCTGGCAGAAGAATGATATAGCAACGACATTAAAAACCTACCTTAAGTATTTCCTGAACAAGAAATAACACTATAACCTGACACAGATGGAGCAGCCTGAAAACCCGATTTCAGATCTTCAGTTGTTGGTGAAACTTGAAGAATATGTATGGATACAGGAACAGGCCATGCAGCAAGATTTGTGGTAGATGCACTGAGCCTGTGTTGTATGTATGTATAATATATAACATGCATAATTCGAAATACTCAGTAAAAACAAGTACTGTAGCTCAGGCTGGAATGCAGAAACATACCTTTTTAACTTCATTGTTACTGAAGTTAGTGTTTCCATCATATGTTCCGGGCCAGTAGTAGGTAATGCCCCACCTCCAACATTCAAAGAAAGGAGCAGAATGATACTACTGATTAACATTATGAATGAAGAGCCTGAGGTTTTGAATGACATCGTTGAGTATCATCCTACTTGAATCTTGAACATTGGAAGTGAATAAAATTTGGATATCGACCAGCGATATGAGATGTGACCAGCACTTGAATGATAGAAAAGTCAGGTTGCGATGAACTGACAGCCTAGTACTGGAAGATCCTAACAGATGGGATATATAAGTAATTCACGGTAAGCTGTACACATCAGAAAGACCTCCTTTAAGGGTTTGAGTGTCGTTAGACCCTGCATTTCATGTAAACTGACACAGAGTAAAAAGAGGATGAGGAAGTTCAGAAAAGAAAGAATCAGGGAAAAAGAAGACAGATAGTCAAGCTATTAAACCTCCCTGGCGGGGAGTCGAACCCCGCTTTCGCGCGACCGTACACTTGCGGTGACAGGCGCGTGTACTAGCCGATATACTACCAGGGACTTGTTCTAGGCCTTCGCAACTAGTATAAGATAGGATAGAGGATCGGTAGCCTCGTGTTTACATCGGTTGCGTTGAAAACTTTACGGATTAGATTCCATACTGAGATGAACATAGCTCGACACCGAGAAATTGACATCCACCAAGACGTGCTCCCGTCGACGTATCAATAACATGTAAGGTCAGACCGAAACCGTCGATTTTCATCGATAAGAAAAGCTCACCAAAAGGACCATTTACAATCGATAGTCATCAGCTGGTGGGATGATTTGTACCAATTGTAAGGGTAACCAAAAAGACAACCATCGTGGTGGCGGCGAGGTTCGAACTCGCGAGGACTTGCGCCCATTGGGAATCAAGAGAAAGAATAATTTCTTAAATCCAACGCCTTAGACCAACTCGGCCACGCCACCGATGGAAGTTAACCAGCTTCGTGCGACCAATATGAATATGCATTGGGGACGGGATGTGATCTAGGTGATAAGCTTTGAGTAGATATTATATTGCCACATTGAAGATGCATATGGGAACAAGGGAGTTTGGTTTCCAGTGAAAACAAAAGTCTTTGAGAAAAGTCGAACGTTAGTGAGATACCGATCATTGAAAAGAGACAAAATGAGAGTACTTACTCGTCCGGCTTACTGATTGTGAGTATGCAGTTTGCTTTTAGCGTTGCGAAATGTAAGGTCAAGTTTTGCAATGGAATCGAACAGTTGGAACGTTGGAGTTTGAATCCAGGGAATTCGAATCCGACTGTATAATGCGGTTAAGTATGTTGATTCCTGTTGTGTGGTCGGAAAGAGGGATCTTCGCAATGAGGTAGGAAAATTGCGTAAAAGAGTGTTGTTTACAAAAGCCATTGACAGAGTAAAGCACGGACAACTTGGAGACCGCTATAAGAGGAGAATTATCGTTATAACTTCAACATGAAATGACATATTTTAAACGCGCGTGATTCATATGCTCGGCGATATGCGGTGTATTGAATCTCCGCCAAAAACTTGCTTAGTCAGACACATTCGCTTCTGCGCGACGACATTGATTTTATTTTTGACTCCTTTCCTTTGCAGCTACGGTCGATGTGTATCGTCCGGGATACACCCACTAGCCCACCTCGTCGACAATCATTCACTTGAGCTGCGCCCAGGGACCGCATTCACACAGCCCAAATCCATCATACGATAATCACACATTTGTCAGGGGCAATCGTATGATACTTCCGAAAAACCCTTGATACTTATACTTACTCTGCTGCCATCTTACTATCTCTATCAACCTCCCCCTCTTTCGTCCTCCTAGCCCAAATGCCATCAAGTACCTTGTCCACCGTCCTGTCCTTCATCACTTGCGGACTCATCACTCTCGGTGTACCTAAAGGAGCGAAACCATTAGATGATCCAGTAGTTCGAGAACGATTAAGAAAATCTCCCCCATCTTCATCTCATTCTACTGCAACAACAACTCCTAGGATATCTTCACATACTCGGGTACCTTCACATATTCAAACACATACACATACACATACGCCGAGATATCCTACCGAACAGATGGTCACTCGTCCAAGGGCGTTTGAATTCGTACCCTCTCGAGCTTCTGTTGAAGCCGCCAGGTTGAAGAGGAATTCTCAGGTTCAGGATCCTGGGACTGCTCGTATTGAGACGAGACGACTTGTGTCGTTTGCGGAAGATAAAGAGCATTGATTGGTTTGAAAGGTATTCTGGTGAGTTTCTTCCCTTTTTTTCACTCGACATATCTTTTGCCTCAACGACCGTTTTGTACATGGCAGGTCTCTGCAACCGTTTAACCTTTCCTACCTTTCACTCATGATCATGATTTGAATCATGACTCTTTTCCATTGTCGACGACTGACCATTCTTCTTTCGACTTTTGGATGATGTTTGTTCGCTGCTGCTTTCGGAGCACTATGGCTTAATGATTAGTTATGAGGGGGTCCTTGTTCGTATTTTAATGTATCGTTCCGTTTGGAGAGAAGTAATCTACCTGTATAATATTGTTGTAGTTTAGCTAATTCATGTCCTAATGAACCTATCTCACAGATCATCGATCACTCATCGTCGTCGTCCTCTTGAATGTCCCCACCGAAGAATTGTTCTTGTTATGTTTGATGTTTTCCTTTTTGATCTCCAGTTGGTTTGTTTACTTTCCTTATTTTTAAATCTCTGCTTCTGTGTCGCGAATTGAATCATCCTACAAGATGCTACCAAATGTGGAAAGTATGTATGTATTAGAATTTCCGATGAGAAGCTTGGATCGAGTACATTGACGACAATCTGAATCTCCCCACGAGTATTTCCCTCCTCTGCCATCTACGCGATGATTGATACGATATTATCACCAAATGAAGGGGGAGCGAAGGAATATATGTATGTCGTCAAGTCACTCTGGTATGTCCAGTCCCCCAATAACCTGCCAGTATATACTCTTGATATACTCACAAGTCTATCATTCAAATTTGACCGACAGATGTTTTTAAAAGCACGTTTCATTCAAGAAAGTCAATGTCATCGTAAAAGAAAAGAGGCAATTTCTGGCCATGGTAAGGCATATGTATACGTTCATTGTAGACAAAGACATTGAAAATGAAAAGACATTTATTTCGAAGGACACCATGATGGGGCAGCCAAATATCCAATCATCAAATTCGACTCTCTTAATCAAATTCAAACCTGGACGAACATTGTCCTCCTCCCACACTTTAAATTTCCCCCCAAACGCACATCCAGTGCACCAAAACCTTCGATGCGGATTTCTCCATCTTCTGTATACTTCAATCCCAGCCCAGAACTTTTCTTTTCTATCTGGTCGATGAAATATCGATTCGGATAAAATACAACAATCAGGGAAATATGAACATTGATGCTGCCTCCTGAGGCCTGAGGCCTGAAACTTCGTACTTAAAAAACCTTTTCCAAAGTAGGGTATGGTCGGGTACTGGCCATGGACCATATCATGGGTATATGGGTAAGCTGTCTCTAGTTATGGCAATGTAAACAGGTCACCGACGTCGACTCAGAAGGATGATTGATGATTCCAAGTAAGTACCCAATTTCCCCCTATATTGTTCAGTTGACACTTACTTTGTCATATTTTATGTCATTCATTACCTTTTCAGATTTACAAAAATCCTACCTTGATGACCCTTGGTGGTCTGCTGCACATTTGGGTGGTTGGGTTTTCTCTGGTTTTTCTTCTCAAGAGAATAAGCGAAACGAATTCTCCATAAGTTAAAACTAATCCAGCTTAGCAATGACAGTTCTTGAATAGCATCACCCTGCTGAATTCCACCTTCAAATTCAAGAGTGGGTATGTCTGTAATTCTTTCTATCTTTCCATGACTTATGTTTTTTATTGTGGGTGGATTCAAGATTCTGAGGAAAAGTCACGCGAACGAACGAACGAACCTCGCTCGCTATCGATGGGTTTTCCTCCTCTTTGAACACTTTCCCTGCCAGTGTCGGTACATCTTAGTACTTGGTTACTTGGAATTCGAGTTGACGAAACCAATGTTTGAGAAAGGGAGGGGTCAATATTTCAATTCAGGTGAGCTTTATTATTGAATGGATCTGATGTCTTTGTTCTGATCTCAACACATGCCCTGGTTCAAAATAGTCATACATTAGTTTGAAGTCAGATCCATTATAATTTATAATGTCGTCCGGATGACTATCATCTTGGTTTTCAACGAAACTTCAAGTCAACATGAGGCTACCGATCCTTCCGCTACACTTATTTGCATCACAAAGGCCTAGAACAAGTCCCTGGTAGTATATCGGCTAGTACACGCGCCTGTCATTGACTTTGTAGTGTACGGTCGCGCGAAAGCGGGGTTCGACTCCCCACCAGGGAGGTGCATTGTTTGCTTTCATTTTTTTCGAATTCGTTGGATCAAGTCTGGACGTTGATTATTGGTATCAGTGCGTGGAGAATTTGTTTCATTACGTTCATAGGATATACTAATAATATGCTCATTTCAGGGAGAAATCACATCTATGAAGCAGGGAGAGTATCATCCCAGTAAAACATGGTGGCGGTCAAATTTTGGGCTTGATGGTTCATCGATTTCTGATCTTTGATGGATGTACTACTAATGATATAACCATAGCTTAAAGGAGATCATGAGTGTCCATGAAATTTGGCTTGTATTCATGCAATGGCCAATCGTCTAGTACCCTTGATAGGAAGGTAGCAATGCTACATTAGCAACGAGGTACTGTCTCTCCTCTTTCATCAACACAGGTTCAAGGGATCCTACATTAGTTCTTGGATGCTATAAATTTTGGTGTTTGGTTGTATGATTTTCATTCAGACTATCACTACCCAACTGCGCTTGGTGAGTAGGTTGACATCCATTATGAGATTCGAGTTTTGTGGATTCTGATACTAATTCTTCGTAGCTGTTATAACCCTGAACGAACCCCGATGGAGAACCCGACCATTCCCGACCTGACATCAGTCCGACCATCCGTTCTTGGCGAACACGAGGATACTTACCTTCTGGAGAACACACGCTTTCCACTCGTAGATACTTATGTTTCCTACATGTTCGCTTATGTTGTTTCCTGACTCACCGGCCATCCGTACTTAGCATGTTTCCCTCGTTGTAGACACAGCATTGGCCCTGTCGGGATTTACTCTGGATGTATATTTAAGTTCTAGTATAGTTGACTGTAGTACCTCAGTCGTATATCTCGTTATATCTCGTTACATCAAGTACTCGTATCCATGTACTTCTGTATCTGAATATAGTCTACGACCTTCCGCTCCTTACCCCGACCCGTCTGACCCCGACTCTTCCACTTCTGTTTGATCCAACTTCCCGACTCAAGTTATTCTCAGCTTCCTCCCTCGCTCTCACCTTCTCCTCCACCTTCCATCCCGACATCTCCGACTCCGACTCAGAGTCTTCCAACAAGAAGGATACTTTCCACAAATAAGGAACCAAGAGGTTAGTGGGGGCACAGCTCCCTACGAGCTGAGGCCAAGGTTCCTCCGACTCTGACTTAGCCAACATTCTACCCGACTAAGTGAAGTAAAGTCTACGTACTTAACAGTAGCTGTTTATACATCCAGTGTATCAATTACCGAATATGCACTTTTGCTGGCAAAAAGTGCTCCTTATATAAGCTCATCATACTTTCAAGTTCTACCACATCGTCTGCGATGTTCAGTCTCTGTGCTGCAGCCTCACAAATCTTGTAAGTTCAATTTGATTATACATTTATCCTACGATAAAGTAAATTGACCACTCAATAAAAATCCTTCTCTTTCCAATGTAGATCTGCACAGCCAGTTTTCAACTCTCAAATTCAAGTTAAACGAGGCTACATCCCACTGGTTGCACATCCCATATCCCACATCACATCTTTATAATCGACATCTACATGGTCATCGCGATCACACACAGCAACTCGTTCTGATGATCATTACCCTCCTCTTGAAAGACAAGGATCTGCGTTCAGTCAACCCAGAGGCTCTAGACAAAACACCAATAACAATGATTCGAACAAACTGAACGGACCACTGGCAAAAGGACCCACCGAAAAAACGAAGAGACAAAAAATCAACAAGTTGGAGATTCTTTAGTAGTCGAACTTGAGATTCAAAGAGGGTTAGAAGAAGACAGGAAGGAGATTGAGAGGAGAAAGAAAAAAAAATTAGCGTTATTGGTTTAAGAGGGGCTCAGTACTTAATAATCCAAAATCGGATTTGAATCATTCGAGATTGGAAACCGCCTTCTGGTGGAGGAACTGGATCTGTTGGAATTGGACGTGGTTCAGGGAGGGAAGTTCATAAGAGGAGAGTCAGAGGAGATTTGCTGACTTGTAGATGGGATTCTGAATTCAATGGCTTATGTTGATATTATTTCGTGAGTGTTTCAAGTTATCCTCTCGTGTTCAATTTCATCCTCATCGCGATCATATCAAGAAATGTGGAAACATAGGTTCGAATGGGATGTGGAGGAAAAGTAGGGATTGTGGAGAGTTACCATACTCACCGGTAGGAAAACCAAAAAATAGAAAGCTCCAGAGGTAGTGTTGTGATCTCCAGAAGATGAAAGCCAGTGAAGCTTGAGGTCAAAGGGTTAGAGCAGGTGGAAATGAATCTTTTGATCTGGACAGGTTGTGGTTTGGTTTCGGGAGCAAAAATTGACCGAGACATGTATGGATGTAACTATATCTCGTAAGTCTGTCATTCCGAGTCTGCTACTTGTGAAATAAAGACTATCTTCTTTCCTTCATCAAGTACTGAGTCGTTGAGGAAACTTCGCACCTGCATGTCGAGCCTTTCAAGTTGCAACTCCCTACATCGGTATTTAGCCAAGACATTCCCTTGTCACCCTTATGTGTCACTTGCAATTCACACATCTTCATTGTCCAGGACACAATCTATAGTCATATAAACTGCATTTTTGTCAACTTTTCAACATGCTCAACGGAAAATTACGTGTCCATTCTTCAATATCATTAATGTCTCACCAAGCACTCGCCAATCAATCCTCTCAGTGCTTTCATCACCTCTTGCTATACTTTTCAAGTCAGAGCTTTACAAATCATCTCTCTAATGTAAACCAGAGCAAGTGATTGGTATGCAGTTGATGCAACACTGTCCATATGCAAAGTAGAGAATGGAAGATCTGATTCTTAACATGATGTTGAACTTTACTCAGCAAGTGCATCATCCGATGAGGTATATAAGTTGAGGTATGTTCAGCTCAAGTTTTATCATAACATACAGTTTGTTTTCTCCTTTCATTCAGGTATTTTTTTCATTCAGGTGCTGGTTATGTGGGTTTCTTTTGTATTAATCCAAGAACTCTCTCATGCTTACTGTCCTCTCATAGCTGTCTTCTTCATCCCCTCAATCATCCTTTGAACTTCTTGCTCCCCATTGCAAGCTTCACGAACCTTTGATAAACTCAAGTCTCGTAAGTTCAACATTCTTTGATCTCATTACACTCAAAGGCGGACCCATATTTACTTTTTCATAGACTTTTTTGCCACGATTAGTAGAAGATGAAATCCTTCACTGCTCTCACTCTCCTCAGTCTCGCTGCTGTTGGTAGCGTGATCGCTGCACCATATGATGAATCGTGAGTATTTGTGTGCTACAATGTATTGAGCTTTGACCGACCTTCATCCTCTGCAGATATAGCACTTTTGCTCGTTGTGCACCTCAGCCAAGGTACCAATACCAAAGAAACTCGTATGCCAGGTGAATTAGCAATCATTTCTATGCATATATTAATGGTCCTCATTGTCTTTCATATACTATTATAGTAGTCCGTCCGTCAATGCACGGTTGTTGGACTCACCATATTCAGATTTCTCCACTAGAGATTACTACGAGCCTTCTTCAGTGTACCGAAGAGACTATGATTCTCTCATGATGGATGTTTACTCCCAAGATGATGGTTACTCTGCTCCTAAACTCTATCGTCGAGCTGGGGGAGGTGGTCAACAGGTACCTTCCAGCTATCTTACAGGATCATCAAGAAACACTCCTCCTCCTCCTCCTCGGAAGAACAACGGACCAATGACTGCAGACCTTCCAATTCAAGATCCCCCAACGTATTATGGTCTTTTACCGTCAAAACCTCCTGCTCTCAATCCTGCGAATGGAGGTTATGCTGCTCGAGCTCCTCCTACTCAGGCTACTACTACGAGAAATACTACCCCAGCTTCTGCTCCAGTTGTAAAAAAGAGTAGTAGTGGTGGACAACAACTTTCTGTTGCTCAGATGAAAAGTATGAGATCAGGTTCAACTACTAAAAATGCTAAACCTAAAAATTAGTTCCGGTTGATCCGTTAATTGGTTTTTGATATTATTGTTGTTTCCGTCCAAATGATTACTAGAATAGGATGCAATTGGTCGATTATTCTTTCGATGGCTGCAGTTTAAAGATGAAACTAAAGATTAAAACTGAAGGGTGGTGGTGAAACACAGTTGCAAAGTTCTATTTCTGTCGAGTCAGACTCAAGGGTTTGCGAAAAAATGAGTAATGAAGGCAAACAAAATTTCAAGTTGAGACCGGTGGACATCATTCCTATGCGTTGGCCATTTGTTCAGAACAGAGGGATGAAATATGTAATGAGTTTTCCCAAGTGAGAACCTTGCATGCTCTTGACTATACTGAGGCCAGTCGATTGCAGTACTCAAGAATTCAGGTGAAATTTGGGGTTGGATGAGAAAAGTATGAGCGATAAATAATGAAATGATATGATGTACGAGTACATGTGGGCACAAAAAAAATGAAGCAACTTGTGAAGAGAAATACAAGATAGAAATGGTAATGTACAGTACTACAAGCAACTTGAACGACTATACTCAGTTATTCTTCTTTTTTTGTCCGGAGGTATCTCCCTGACTTTTGATCCTCCGAAGATTCCGTTTCTGCGATGGTTCTTGAGGAAATTTCTCTGGTTCCGGATCCCTTGTAGTTCGTGGACGTGCATTGGTGTTTCGTCGCTTCGAAGCGGGACTAGTATCGTCCTGGTTATCGTTCTCTTCCAATGCACGTTTCGACGCTGATCGTGTGTTGTAACGAGAAAGAGATGGTTTAGAGGGAGGAGGAGGGGGAGGGGGAAGAACAGATTTCGCGAGTCTTGCAGAAGACCTTGTGGTTCTCTTAGGTAGAGATGGAGATTGGAGATCACGGGGTTGTTCAACATCTTCTCCGTTCTCGACAAGTGCAGGAGATGATGGCGCGGACTGTTCTTCTTCTTCTTCTTCTTCGTCATCTTCAAGTTCCGAATCCTGTTCGGCATCCCTTGTGTCGAATGTTTTGACTCTGTCTTCAGCAGCGGTCTCCGCTGTTTGTTTTGTTCGACGATTGATATTCAGCGGAGG